GTCATTTCCCATTATAATGAATGGGAGGCACAGTTTCTACCAAAACGCTCGCTGCAGACAAACTACATGTCCTATTTGAAAAAACTCTGGACCATGAGTGAGGGCACAAACACAGCTAGGACATATCCAAATGGCAAGTTGCTCCTCCTTTTGGTTTTAGCGGGAGAGCAATGCGTTTGAGCCATTAAGCGATGGGCTGGAAAAACTTGACTTTTTCTCCTGCCATGGGGGGGCGCTCTTTTGGGGAGTAAAAATTCCTTCACAAATGTGTTGATGGCTGGACATTGCATCATCCTAGAAAACTTGGAGGCCAGTGAGGACAAAAATAAAAAGTTATAAGACTTTTAAAAATGTGGATTTTTGGGTTATCTTTGGCGCCCCCTAGAACGTAAACCGTGGGGTGCAGCGTCATGATTTGAATAACTTTTAATGGCCACGGGGTGTAGATTGGCCTGAGCAAATGTGGTGCCGGTGGAACGAAAGTCTTCGGAGGAGTTAGCGAAATTCCAATGTGTGCGGATCGGCAAAAAATGCGAAATAACCCTTTAACCGTAATTTTGACAGATACGGCCGCACTGACTTTTTTGTAGATCTTATTGAGATACATATGTGTGTCAATTTTTGTGTCAATATGACAAAGCGTACAGGCGTGACAGTCAATAGTGTGAATTTCCACCTTAGGGGGCGCTATGGAGCCATTTTGCATTTTATTGTTTGGGCGACTTCAGAATATCGAATTTTTCACCAGGCCCGGTCGTCCTGCCAAATTTCATGAGTTTTCGCCAGTGGGAAGTGGGCCATTTTCCAGTTCAAAGGGGAGGAAAAATAATAATAATAACACTAGGACCCCGTTGGGGCACTGGCGGGCCCGAGCTGTGTCGCGCCCCCCCCCCAACACGCTGCCTCCCCGTCCCATTTGTGTCCTCTGGCCATCGCCCTCTCTGGTAACGCCCATCACTGCAAAGACCCTTTTCCTTCATCGGCGTTTGCTGTTCTTCCTGCCAGTGCGTGTTGCTTTCACTTACACTTGCCACAGCCAGCCTCGTGAGTGCCTAGCCTATTGGATATTACTGTCACCTACACAGGACAGTCATTACCTTTCTATTAATACTTTGTTTTTTAATTTCACATTAATTTCCATATTGTATAAACAACTGGAAAAAACTTGAGCCCCTGCCCCTGTATAATCATGTGCACGTCTCTGTTCTAGCTCTAAGGTGAATCTTCACTGCTCATGTTCTCCTCAGAAGCAGTCACCTCACTCCCCTCAGGTTACTGTACACATGCACCAACTGCCTGCTTCAGGTTTGGATGGAGCTTCATGGTTGTCTTTTGGAGAAATGACCAGTCAAGTTGTGTTTGAAATTTGATTTTTTTCAGGGGCAATAGGAGCCTCTGCATTCTTGTCAAATATGTAAATAGCATGTTTTTGCAGGTGCTAAAAACCAGACTCTGAGTGTGTGTGTGTGCGTGTGTGTGTGTGTCTGTGTGTGTGTGTGTGTGTGTGTGTGTGTGTGCGTTCAAGTCACATGACATATTTAACCGGATGTAGCTGCAAGACGGAGCCTCGTTGACTCTCCGTTTCAACTTATCTCAAAAGTGAGGACCTCAACCTATATACCAGTTTTTAAATTGTGTTGATAGGCCAAATAAAACCAGAGTTATGATAAATTATGTCCGCGATACTTGTTTTCTGCTTATTTTGATCACGTTCGGCGCTCGATCGCGCTGTATGAGACAGGAAAACATAGCATGCAGACATTAGCGACAGGTCTTACAGGCGGAAAAGGCTTGCCAAAGGAAAAAAAAAACACATCACAACATCTCTCCTATTGGTGGAAAACTTCACCACAACAACCAATCCAAAATTATATGGTGACTGATTGACAAGGGGCGGGCGCTTACGTTCTTCCTGCAATATGAGAAGGGAGGGAGGGACTCTCAGCAGGGATGCAGTCTGGGACACGTAGTTGCAAACCTAGCGACTTTGTTGTTAGATTCAATGACTTTTCAGACCCCCTAACGACTTTCTTTTAGAAAGAAAGGGACTTTTATCGACTTCTTCTGGAGTTTAGAGACTCTGACATGAAGCAGGCTTTCCTTACTGAGGAGTTAGCAACGCTGCTAAGGGTGCAGAGCCACACATGCGCTCCGAGCTCTGCATGGGAGACTGAAGCTGACAGAGCTGCAGCAGTTAGCAGGTTTCACCCTCAGAGACCACCAGGGGTTCATGTTGAGGCATTTTCAGTTTTTTTTTTTTTTTTTGCCATAGACACTGTCAGCACAATCTGCAGTTACACTAACAAAAATGCTGCAAAAAACAAAGAATTATGGAAAAATTACACATGGACTAACATAGAGGAGGATCTACACAAGTTTTTTACATCATGTTTTACATCATGCATCATTTACATCATGTTTTTTTGTAGTGGCATAAATAAAAAGTGACATTTGTGAGACTATACAGTGTTTTGTAAATAATTTTACAAAGAACACCTGGGCCATTGCCTGCATTTTGATGTAAATAGAGGTAAATTACTATGTTCTTTGTTAAAAATTTGCATATGTTTTGAAGTTTACAATTTTTATTTGAAGTTTAAGTTTTAAAAACAGTTCATCACACATATTTGTGGTTTTCACAGTAAAAACGTTACTTTTTTCCACTCGGATTTTATGTTTTGTGTGTGAATTTGGGTCCAATGTGTAAATATAGTATGTCAAAATGATAAAATAACTGTAAATTGACACAGGTGAGGTTGTGCTGAAAAAAATGATACCAGGCAAGGCAAGGTAAAAATTTTGTAAGAGGAAATATAAAGGTAAAATCTAAAGTAGTCAAAAACGGCCAATAGTGACTCACAGACTCCACAGACAAGTCCCTTTGGCGCCACTCAGTGGGCAAAACTACTTTGTCTACTGTAATGTATATTTGGGTCATCTTTGGCGCACCCTAAAACGTAAACCGTGGGGTGCAGCGTCATGATTTTTACAACTTTGAATGGCCATGGAGTGTAGATTGGCCTGAGCAAATTTGGTGTCAGTGGGACGAAAGCCTTAGGAGGAGTTAGCGAAATTCCAATGTGTGCGAATCGGCAAAAAATGCAAAATAGTCCTTTTACCGTACATTATACAGATACGCGCTCTTTGACTTTTTCGTAGATCTAATTGAGATACACATGATTGTCAATTTTTGTGTCATTTTGCCAAAGCGTACAGGCGTGACAGTCAACAATGTGTATTTTCACCTTAGGGGACAAGAAAAAATGGACTTTTTTCTCCTGCCATGGGGGGGCGCTCTTTTAGGGAGTAAAAATTCCTTCACAAATGTGTTGATGGCTGGACATTGCATCATCCTAGAAAACTTGGAGGCCAGTGAGGACAAAAATAAAAAGTTATAAGACTTTTAAAAATGTGGATTTTTGGGTTATCTTTGGCGCCCCCTAGAACGTAAACCGTGGGGTGCAGCGTCATGATTTGAATAACTTTTAATGGCCATGGGGTGTAATTTGGCCTGAGCAAATGTGGTGCCGGTGGAACGAAAGCCTTCGGAGGAGTTAGCGAAATTCCAATGTGTGCGAATCGGCAAAAAATGCGGAATAACCCTTTAACCGTACATTTGACAGATACGCGCTCATGGACTTTTTTGTAGATCTTATTGAGATACATGTGTGTGTCAATTTTTGTGTCATTTTGACAAAGCGTACAGGCGTGACACTCAACAATGTGTATTTTCACCTTAGGGGACAAGAAAAAATGGACTTTTTTCTCCTGCCATGGGGGGCGCTCTTTTGGGGAGTAAAAATTCCTTCACAAATGTGTTGATGGCTGGACATTGCATCATCCTAGAAAACTTGGAGGCCAGTGAGGGCAAAAATAAAAAGTTATAAGACTTTTAAATATGTGGATTTTAGGGTTATCTTTGGCGCCCCCTAGAACCTAAACCGTGGGGTGCAGCGTCATGATTTGAATAACTTTTAATGGCCATGGGGTGTAGATTGGCCTGAGCAAATGTGGTGCCGGTGGAACGAAAGCCTTCGGAGGAGTTAGCGAAATTCCAATGTGTGCGGATCGGCAAAAAATGCGAAATAACCCTTTAACTGTACATTTGACAGATACGCCCGCACTGACTTTTTTGTAGATCTTATTGAAATACATGTGTGTGTCAATTTTTGTGTCATTTTGCCAAAGCGTACAGGCGTGACAGTCAATAGTGTGAATTTTCACCTTAGGGGGCGCTATGGAGCCATTTTGCATTTTCTTGTTTGGGCGACTTCGGAATATCAAATTTTTCACCAGGCCCGGTCGTCCTGCCAAATTTCATGAGTTTTCGCCAGTGGGAAGTGGGCCATTTTCCAGTTCAAAGGGGAGGAAAAAGAAAAAAGAAACAAAGAAAAACCACTTGGGGAATAATAGGGCTCTCGCAGCTGCTTAGCAGCTACGCTCGGGCCCTAAAAAGAAGGAAACATGCAGGAACAAGAGGGCTCTCGCAGCTGCTTAGCAGCTACGCTCGGGCCCTAACTAGGGCCCCGGTGGGGCACTGTCGGGCCCGAGCGGCGTCGCGCCGCCCCCAGCGCGACCGCCTCCCCCTCCCGATCGCGTCACACTCAAGGTCCAAAGATGGTGTGCGCACTTGTCTGTGGTCATTTACCATTATAATGAATGGGAGGCACAGTTTCTACCAAAACACTCGCTGCAGACAAACTTCATGTCCTATTTGAAAAAAGTCTGGACCATGAGTGAGGGCACAAACACAGCTAGGATATATCCAAATGGCAGGTTGCTCCTCCTTACGGTGTTGCCTGGAGAGCGCTGGATTGAGCCATTGAGCGATGGGCAGGAAAAACTTGACTTTTTCTTCTGCCTTGGGGGGGGTGTGTGGATTCTTTTAAGAATGTGGATATTTGGGTCATCTTTGGCGCCCCCTAGAACGTAAACCGTGGGGTGCAGCGTCATGATTTTTACAACTTTGAATGGCCATGGGATGTAGATCGGCTTGAGCAAATTTGGTGTCGGTGGGACGAAAGCCTTAGGAGGAGTTAGCCACATTCCAATGTGTGCGAATCGGCAAAAAATGCAAAATAGCCCTTTAACCGTACATTTGACAGATACGCGCCCATTGACTTTTTCGTAGATCTTATTGAGATACACGTGATTGTCAAATTTTGTGTCAATATGACAAAGCGTACAGGTGTCACACTCAACAATGTGAATTTTCACCTTAGGGGACAAGAAAAAATGGACTTTTTTCTCCTGCCATGGGGGGGCGCTCTTTTGGGGAGTAAAAAATCCTTCACAAATGTGTTGATGGCTGGACATTGCATCATCCTAGAAAACTTGGAGGCCAGTGAGGACAAAAATAAAAAGTTATAAGACTTTGAAATATGTGGATTTTAGGGTTATCTTTGGCGCCCCCTAGAACCTAAACCGTGGGGTGCAGCGTCATAATTTGAATAACTTTTAATGGCCATGGGGTGTAGATTGGCCTGAGCAAATGTGATGCCAGTGGAACGAAAGCCTTCGGAGGAGTTAGCGAAATTCCAATGTGTGCGGATCAACAAAAAATGCGGAATAACCCTTTAACCGTACATTTGACAGATACGCGCGCATTGACTTTTTCGTAGATCTTATTGAGATACATGTGTGTGTCAATTTTTGTGTCAATATGATAAAGCGTACAGGCGTGACAGTCAATAGTGTGAATTTCCACCTTAGGGGACAAGAAAAAATTGACTTTTTTCTCCTGCCATGGGGGGGCGCTCTTTTGGGGAGTAAAAATTCCTTCACAAATGTGTTGATGGCTGGACATTGCATCATCCTAGAAAACTTGGAGGCCAGTGAGGACAAAAATAAAAAGTTATAAGACTTTTAAATATGTGGATTTTAGGGTTATCTTTGGCGCCCCCTAGAACCTAAACCGTGGGGTGCAGCGTCATGATTTGAATAACTTTTAATGGCCATGGGGTGTAGATTGGCCTGAGCAAATGTGGTGCCGGTGGAACGAAAGCCTTGGGAGGAGTTAGCGAAATTCCAATGTGTGCAGATCGGCAAAAAATGTGGAATAACCCTTTAACTGTACATTTGACAGATACGCGCGCATTGACTTTTTCGTAGATCTTATTGAGATACATGTGTGTGTCAATTTTTGTGTCATTTTGCCAAAGCGTACAGGTGTTACACTCAACAATGTGTATTTTCACCTTAGGGGACAAGAAAAAATGGACTTTTTTCTCCTGCCATGGGGGGGCGCTCTTTTGGGGAGTAAAAATTCCTTCACAAATGTGTTGATGGCTGGACATTGCATCATCCTAGAAAACTTGGAGGCCAGTGAGGGCAAAAATAAAAAGTTATAAGACTTTTAAATATGTGGATCTTAGGGTTATCTTTGGCGCCCCCTAGAACCTAAACCGTGGGGTGCAGCGTCATGATTTGAATAACTTTTAATGGCCATGGGGTGTAGATTGGCCTGAGCAAATGTGGTGCCGGTGGAACGAAAGCCTTCGGAGGAGTTAGCGAAATTCCAATGTGTGCGGATCAGCAAAAAATGCGAAATAACCCTTTAACCGTACATTTGACAGATACGCCCGCACTGACTTTTTTGTAGATCTTATTGAGATACATGTGTGTGTCAATTTTTGTGTCATTTTGACAAAGCGTACACGCGTGACAGTCAATAGTGTGAATTTCCACCTTAGGGGGCGCTATGGAGCCATTTTGCATTTTATTGTTTGGCCGACTTCGGAATATCAAATTTTTCACCAGGCCCGGTCGTCCTGCCAAATTTCATGAGTTTTCGCCAGTGGGAAGTGGGCCATTTTCCAGTTCAAAGGGGAGGAAAAATAATAATAATAACAAAAGAAGGAAACATGCAGGAACAAGAGGGCTCTCGCAGCTGCTTAGCAGCTACGCTCGGGCCCTAAAGAAAAACCACTTGGGGAATAATAGGGCTCTCGCAGCTGCTTAGCAGCTACGCTCGGGCCCTAACTAGGACCCCGTTGGGGCACTGGCGGGCCCGAGCTGTGTCGCATCCCCCCCCCAACGCGCTGCCTCCCCGTCCCATTTGTGTCCTCTGGCCATCGCCCTCTCTGGTAACGCCCATCACTGCAAAGACCCTTTTCCTTCATCGGCGTTTGCTGTTCTTCCTTCCAGTGCGTGTTGCTTTCACTTACACTTGCCACAGCCAGCCTCGTGAGTGCCTAGCCTATTGGATATCACTGTCACCTACACAGGACAGTCATTACCTTTCTATTAATACTTTGTTTTTTAATTTCACATTAATTTCCATATTGTATAAACAACTGGAAAAAACTTGAGCCCCTGCCCCTGTATAATCATGTGCACGTCTCTGTTCTAGCTGTAAGGTGAATCTTCACTGCTCATGTTCTCCTCAGAAGCAGTCACCTCACTCCCCTCAGGTTACTGTACACATGCACCAACTGCCTGCTTCAGGTTTGGATGGAGCTTCATGGTTGTCTTTTGGAGAAATGACCAGTCAAGTTGTGTTTGAAATTTGATTTTTTTCAGGGGCAAAAGGAGCCTCTGCATTCTTGTCAAATATGTAAATAGCATGTTTTTGCAGGTGCTAAAAACCAGACTCTGAGTGTGTGTGTGTGCGTGTGTGTGTGTGTCTGTGTGTGTGTGTGTGTGTGTGTGTGTGTGTGTGTGCGTTCAAGTCACATGACATATTTAACCGGATGTAGCTGCAAGACGGAGCCTCGTTGACTCTCCGTTTCAACTTATCTCAAAAGTGAGGACCTCAACCTATATACCAGTTTTTAAATTGTGTTGATAGGCCAAATAAAACCAGAGTTATGATAAATTATGTCCGCGATACTTGTTTTCTGCTTATTTTGATCACGTTCGGCGCTCGATCGCGCTGTATGAGACAGGAAAACATAGCATGCAGACATTAGCGACAGGTCTTACAGGCGGAAAAGGCTTGCCAAAGGAAAAAAAAAACACACCACAACATCTCTCCTATTGGTGGAAAACTTCACCACAACAACCAATCCAAAATTATATGGTGACTGATTGACAAGGGGCGGGCGCTTACGTTCTTCCTGCAATATGAGAAGGGAGGGAGGGACTCTCAGCAGGGATGCAGTCTGGGACACGTAGTTGCAAACCTAGCGACTTTGTTGTTAGATTCAATGACTTTTCAGACCCCCTAACGACGTTTTTTTAGAAAGAAAGTGACTTTTATCGACTTCTTCTGGAGTTTAGAGACTCTGACATGAAGCAGGCTTTCCTTACTGAGGAGTTAGCAACGCTGCTAAGGGTGCAGAGCCACACATGCGCTCCGAGCTCTGCATGGGAGACTGAAGCTGACAGAGCTGCAGCAGTTAGCAGGTTTCACCCTCAGAGACCACCAGGGGTTCATGTTGAGGCATTTTCAGTTTTTTTTTTTTTTTTGCCATAGACACTGTCAGCACAATCTGCAGTTACACTAACAAAAATGCTGCAAAAAACAAAGAATTATGGAAAAATTACACATGGACTGACATAGAGGAGGATCTACACAAGTTTTTTACATCATGTTTTACATCATGCATCATTTACATCATGTTTTTTTGTAGTGGCATAAATAAAAAGTGACATTTGTGAGACTATACAGTGTTTTGTAAATAATTTTACAAAGAACACCTGGGCCATTGCCTGCATTTTGATGTAAATAGAGGTAAATTACTATGTTCTTTGTTAAAAATTTGCATATGTTTTGAAGTTTACAATTTTTATTTGAAGTTTAAGTTTTAAAAACAGTTCATCACACATATTTGTGGTTTTCACAGTAAAAACGTTACTTTTTTCCACTCGGATTTTATGTTTTGTGTGTGAATTTGGGTCCAATGTGTAAATATAGTATGTCAAAATGATAAAATAACTGTAAATTGACACAGGTGAGGTTGTGCTGAAAAAAATGATACCAGGCAAGGCAAGGTAAAAATTTTGTAAGAGGAAATATAAAGGTAAAATCTAAAGTAGTCAAAAACGGCCAATAGTGACTCACAGACTCCACAGACAAGTCCCTTTGGCGCCACTCAGTGGGCAAAACTACTTTGTCTACTGTAATGTATATTTGGGTCATCTTTGGCGCCCCCTAAAACGTAAACCGTGGGGTGCAGCGTCATGATTTTTACAACTTTGAATGGCCATGGAGTGTAGATTGGTCTGAGCAAATTTGGTGTCAGTGGGACGAAAGCCTTAGGAGGAGTTAGCGAAATTCCAATGTGTGCGAATCGGCAAAAAATTCAAAATAGCCCTTTTACCGTACATTATACAGATACACGCTCTTTGACTTTTTCGTAGATCTAATTGAGATACACATGACTGTCAATTTTTGTGTCAATATGACAAAGCGTACAGGCGTGACACTCAACAATGTGTATTTTCACCTTAGGCGACAAGAAAAAATTGACTTTTTTCTCCTGCCATGGGGGGGCGCTCTTTTGGGGAGTAAAAATTTCTTCACAAATGTGTTGATGGCTGGACATTGCATCATCCTAAAAAACTTGGAGGCCAGTGAGGACAAAAATAAAAAGTTATAAGACTTTGAAATATGTGGATTTTAGGGTTATATTTGGCGCCCCCTAGAACCTAAACCGTGGGGTGCAGCAAGATGATTTGTACAACTTTTAATGGCCATGGGGTGTAGATTGGCCTGAGCAAATTTGGTGCCGGTGGAAAGATAGCCTTCGGAGGAGTTAGCGAAATTCCAATGTGTGCGAATCGGCAAAAAATGCAAAATAGCCCTTTAACCGTACATTTGACAGATACATGCCCTTAGACTTTTTCGTAGATCTTATTAAGATACACGTGATTGTCAAATTTTGTGTCAATATGACAAAGCATACAGGCGTGACACTCGACAATGTGTATTTTCACCTTAGGAGACAAGAAAAAATGGACCTTTTTCTCCTGCCATTGGGGGGCGCTCTTTTGGGGAGTAAAAATTCCTTCACAAATGTGTTGATGGCTGGACATTGCATCATCCTAGAAAACTTGGAGGCCAGTGAGGACAAAAGACAAAAGTTATAAGACTTTTAAGAATGTGGATTTTTGGGTTATCTTTGGCGCCCCCTAGAACGTAAACCGTGGGGTGCAGCGTCATGATTTGTACAACTTTTAATGGCCATGGGGGGTAGATTGGCCTGCGCAAATGTGGTGCCGGTCGAACGAAAGCCTTCGGAGGAGTTAGCGAAATTCCAATGTGTGCGAATCGGCAAAAAATGCAAAATAGCCCTTTAACCGTACATTTGACAGATACGCCCACACTGACTTTTTTGTAGATCTTATTGAGATACATGTGTGTGTCAATTTTTGTGTCAATATGACAAAGCATACAGGCGTCATGTGAATTTTCACCTTAGGGGGCGCTATGGAGCCATTTTGCATTTTATTGTTTGGGCGACTTCAGAATATCGAATTTTTCACCAGGCCCGGTCGTCCTGCCAAATTTCCTGAGTTTTCGCCAGTGGGAAATGGGCCATTTTCCAGTTTAAAGCGGAGGAAAAATAATAACGACGGAAGGAAACATGCAGGAACAAGAGGGCTCTCGCAGCTGCTTAGCAGCTACGCTCGGGCCCTAATAATAATAACAAACTAGGACCCCGTTGGGGCACTGGCGGGCCCGAGCTGTGTCGCGTCCCCCCCCCAACGCGCTGCCTCCCCGTCCCATTCGTGTCCTCTGGCCATCGCCCTCTCTGGTAACGCCCATCACTGCAAAGACCCTTTTCCTTCATCGGCGTTTGCTGTTCTTCCTGCCAGTGCGTGTTGCTTTCACTTACACTTGCCACAGCCAGCCTCTTGAGTGCCTAGCCTATTGGATATCACTGTCACCTACTCAGGACAGTCATTACCTTTCTATTAATACTTTGTTTTTTAATTTCACATTAATTTCCATATTGTATAAACAAGTGGAAAAAACTTGAGCCCCTGCCCCTGTATAATCATGTGCACGTCTCTGTTCTAGCTCCAAGGTGAATCTTCACTGCTCATGTTCTCCTCAGAAGCACTCACCTCACTCCCCTCAGGTTACTGTACACATGCACCAACTGCCTGCTTCAGGTTTGGATGGAGCTTCATGGTTGTCTTTTGGAGAAATGACCAGTCAAGTTGTGTTTGAAATTTGATTTTTTTCAGGGGCAAAAGGAGCCTCTGCATTCTTGTCAAATATGTAAATAGCATGTTTTTTCAGGTGCTAAAAAACAGACTCTGAGTGTGTGTGTGTGCGTGTGTGTGTGTGTCTGTGTGTGTGTGTGTGTGTGTGTGTGTGTGTGTGCGTTGAAGTCACATGACATATTTAACCGGATGTAGCTGCAAGACGGAGCCTCGTTGACTCCGTTTCAACTTATCTCAAAAGTGAGGACCTCAACCTATATACCAGTTTTTAAATTGTGTTGATAGGCCAAATAAAACCAGAGTTATGATAAATTATGTCCGCGATACTTTTTTTCTGCTTATTTTGATCACGTTCGGCGCTTGATCGCGCTGTATGAGACAGGAAAACATAGCATGCAGACATTAGCGACAGGTCTTACAGGCGGAAAAGGCTTGCCAAAGGAAAAAGAAAACACACCACAACATCTCTCCTATTGGTGGAAAACTTCACCACAACAACCAATCCAAAATTATATGGTGACTGATTGACAAGGGGCGGGTGCTTACGTTCTTCCTGCAACATGAGAAGCGAGGGAGGGACTCTCAGCAGGGATGCAGTCTGGGACACGTAGTTGCAAACCTAGCGACTTTGTTGTTAGATTCAATGACTTTTCAGACCCCCTAACGACTTTTTTTTTAGAAAGAAAGGGACTTTTATCGACTTCTTCTGGAGTTCTGGAGTTTAGAGACTCTGACATGAAGCAGGCTTTCCTTACTGAGGAGTTAGCAACGCTGCTAAGGGTGCAGAGCCACACATGCGCTCAGAGCTCTGCATGGGAGACTGAAGCTGACAGAGCTGCAGCAGTTAGCAGGTTTCACCCTCAGAGACCACCAGGGGTTCATGTTGAGGCATTTTAAATTTTTTTTTTTTTGTGCCATAGACACTGTCAGCACAATCTGCAGTTACACTAACAAAAATGCTGCAAAAAACAAAGAATTATGGAAAAATTACACATGGACTGACATAGAGGAGGATCTACACAAGTTTTTTACATCATGTTTTACATCATGCATCATTTACATCATGTTTTTTTGTAGTGGCATAAATAAAAAGTGACATTTGTGAGACTATACAGTGTTTTGTAAATAATTTTACAAAGAACGCCTGGGCCATTGCCTGCATTTTGATGTAAATAGAGGTAAATCACTATGTTCTTTGTTAAAAATTTGCATATGTTTTGAAGTTTACAATTTTTATTTGAAGTTTAAGTTTTAAAAACAGTTCATCACACATATTTGTGGTTTTCACAGTAAAAATGTTACTTTTTTCCACTCGGATTTTATGTTTTGTGTGTGAATTTGGGTCCATTGTGTAAATTCAGTATGTCAACATGATAAAATAACTGTAAATTCGCACAGGTGAGGTTGTGCTGAAAAAAATGATACCAGGCAAGGCACGTGATTGTCAAATTTTGTGTCAATATGACAAAGCGTATAGGCGTGAATCTCAACAATATGTATTTTCACCTTAGGGGACAAGAAAAAATTGACTTTTTTCTCCTGCCATGGGGGGGCGCTCTTTTGGGGAGTAAAAATTCCTTCACAAATGTGTTGATGGCTGGACATTGCATCATCCTAGAAAACTTGGAGGCCAGTGAGGACAAAAATAAAAAGTTATAAGACTTTTAAATATGTGGATTTTTGGGTTATCTTTGGCGCCCCCTAGAACCTAAACCGTGGGGTGCAGCGTCATGATTTTGATAACTTTTAATGGCCATGGGGTGTAGATTGACCTGAGCAAATTTGGTGCCGGTGGAACGAAAGCCTTCGGAGGAGTTAGCGACATTCCAATGTGTGCGTATCGGCAAAAAATGCGAAATAACCCTTTAACCGTACATTTGACAGATACGCGCTCATAGACTTTTTTGTAGATCTTATTGAGATACATGTGTGTGTCAATTTTTGTGTCATTTTGCCAAAGCGTAAAGGCGTGACACTCAACAATGTGTATTTTCACCTTAGGGGTCAAGAAAAAATGGACTTTTTTCTCCTGCCATGGGGGGGCGCTCTTTTGGGGAGTAAAAATTCCTTCACAAATGTGTTGATGGCTGGACATTGCATCATCCTAGAAAACTTGGAGGCCAGTGAGGACAAAAATAAAAAGTTATAAGACTTTTAAATATGTGGATTTTAGGGTTATTTTTGGCGCCCCCTAGAACCTAAACCGTGGGGTGCAGCGTCATGATTTGAATAACTTTTAATGGCCATGGGGTGTAGATTGGCCTGAGCAAATGTGGTGCCGGTGGAACGAAAGCCTTCGGAGGAGTTAGCGAAATTCCAATGTGTGCAGATCTGCAAAAAATGCAAAATAACCCATTAACCGTACATTTGACAGATACGGCCGCACTGACTTTTTTGTAGATCTTATTGAGATACACGTGTGTGTCAATTTTTGTGTCATTTTGACAAAGCGTAAAGGCGTGACAGTCAATAGTGTGAATTTTCACCTTAGGGGGCGCTATGGAGCCATTTTGCATTTTCTTGTTTGGGCGACTTCGGAATATCGAATTTTTCACCAGGCCCGGTCATCCTGCCAAATTTCATGAGTTTTCGCCAGTGGGAAGTGGGCCATTTTCCAGTTCAAAGGGGAGGAAAAAGAAGAAACTAGGGCCCCGTTGGGGCACTGGCGGGCCCGAGCCGTGTCGCACCCCCCCCCCCCCCCCCAACGCGCTGCCTCCCCGTCCCATTCGCGTCCTCTGGCCATCGCCCTCTCTGGTAACGCCCATCACTGCAAAGACCCTTTTCCTTCATCGGCGTTTGCTGTTCTTCCTGCCAGTGCGTGTTGCTTTCACTTACACTTGCCACAGCCAGCCTCGTGAGTGCCTAGCCTATTGGATATCACTGTCACCTACACAGGACAGTCATACTTTGTTTTTTAATTTCACATTAATTTCCATATTGTATAAACGACTGGAAAAAACTTGAGCCCCTGCCCCTGTATTATCATGTGCACGTCCCTGTTCTAGCTCCAAGGTGAATCTTCACTGCTCATGTTCTCCTCAGAAGCAGTCACCTCACTCCCCTCAGGTTACTGTACACATGCACTGACTGCCTGCTTCAGGTTTGGATGGAGCTTCATGGTTGTCTTTTGGAGAAATGAGCAGTCAAGTTGTGTTTGAAATTCTTGTCAAATATGTAAATAGCATGTTTTTGCAGGTGCTAAAAAACAGACTCTGAGTGTGTGTGTGTGTGTGTGTGTGTGTGTGTGTGTGTCTGTGTGTGTGTGTGTGTGTGTGTATCCTGCAGTACTCTGAGAAGAATAATAAGCATATTTCTGAGGTGAATTTTGAAGATTCATCTGAGAGTTAGGTTTGATTCGATTCGATTGACGCTCCCCAGCGTTCAAGTCACATGACATATTTAACCGGATGTAGCTGCAAGACGGAGCCTCGTTAACTCTCCGTTTCAACTTATCTCAAAAGTGAGGACCTCAACCTATATACCAGTTTTTAAATTGTGTTGATAGGCCAAATAAAACCAGAGTTATGATAAATTATGTCCGCGATACTTTTTTTCTGCTTATTTTGATCACGTTCGGCGCTCGATCGCGCTGTATGAGACAGGAAAACATAGCATGCACACATTAGCGACAGGTCTTACAGGCGGAAAAGGGTTGCCAAAAGAAAAAAAAACACACCACAACATCTCTCCTATTGGTGGAAAACTTCACCACAACAACCAATCCAAAATTATATGGTGACTGATTGACAAGGGGCGGGCGCTTACGTTCTTCCTGCAACATGAGAAGGGAGGGAGGGACTCTCAGCAGGGATGCAGTCTGGGACACGTAGTTGCAAACCTAGCGACTTTGTTGTTAGATTCAATTACTTTTCAGACCCCCTAACGACTTTTAGAAAGAAAGGGACTTTTATCGACTTCTTCTGGAGTTTAGAGACTCTGACATGAAGCAGGCTTTCCTTACTGAGGAGTTAGCAACGCTGCTAAGGGTGCAGAGCCACACATGCGCTCCGAGCTCTGCATGGGAGACTGAAGCTGACAGAGCTGCAGCAGTTAGCAGGTTTCACCCTCAGAGACCACCAGGGGTTCATGTTGAGGCATTTTCAGTTTTTGTTTTTTTTGCCATAGACTGTCAGCACAATCTGCAGTTACACTAACAAAAATGCTGCAAAAAACAAAGAATTATGGAAAAATTACACATGGACTGACATAGAGGAGGATCTACACAAGTTTTTTACATCATGCATCATTTACATCATGTTTTTTTGTAGTGGCATAAATAAAAAGTGACATTTGTGAGACTATACAGTGTTTTGTAAATAATTTTACAAAGAACGCCTGGGCCATTGCCTGCATTTTGATGTAAATAGAGGTAAATTACTATGTTCTTTGTTAAAAATTTGCATATGTTTTGAAGTTTACAATTTTTATTTGAGGTTTAAGTTTTAAAAACAGTTCATCACACATATTTGTGGTTTAATTTCACAATAATTTCCATATTGTATAAATGACTGGAAAAAACTTGCGCCCCTGCCCCTGTATAATCATGTGCACGTCCCTGTTCTAGCTCCAAGGTGAATCTTCACTGCTCATGCTCTCCTCAGAAATAGTCACCTCACTCCCCTCAGGTTACTGTACACATGCACCAACTATCTGCTTCAGGTTTGGATGGAGCTTCATGGTTGTCTTTTGGAGAAATGAACAGTCAAGTTGTGTTTGAAATCTTTTTTTTTTCAGGGGCAAAAGGAAGCCTCTGCATTCTTGTCAAATATGTAAACAGCATGTTTTTGCAGGTGCTAAAAAACAGACTCTGAGTGTGTGTGTGTGTGTGTGTGTGTGTGTGTGTGTGTGTGTGTGTGTGTGTGTGTGTGTGTGTATATGTGTGTGTATCCTGCAGTACTCTGTACTCCTGCAGTGGCCAAAAAGACTTTTAAGAATGTGGATTTTTGGGTCATCTTTGGCGCCCCCTAGAACTGCAGTACTCTGTACTCCTGCAGTGGCCAAAATGACTTTTAAGAATGTGGATTTTTGGGTCATCTTTGGCGCCCCCTAGAACGTAAACCGTGGGGTGCAGCGTCATGATTTTTACAACTTTGAATGGGCATGGGGTGTAGATTGCCCTGAGCAAATTTGGTATCGGTGGGACGAAAGCCTTAGGAGGAGATAGCCACATTCCAATGTGTGCGAATCGGCAAAAAATGCGAAATAGCCCTTTAACCGTACATTAT